TAAATACTTTTCTGAAAAAGCAAAACTTGTATCCTCCTGGTAGACATGCTATGGTATGACAAAAAAAAATCAATACATGATGACTACTTATTTTAAAAAAGGTATTCTGACCTAAGAGAAGTCAGAAAAAAATTCAAATGTCTTAAAATGAAACATCTATTTTTGTTTATTTCTCAGGTTCTTAAATCAGTTATTCAGGTACAAACAGTTTGCAGATTAGAGTCAAGTGCTTTATATCTTACAGCACAATGTTGTATAGAAAATAACGATTGGCATTATATAACCAACAATGGGTTAGTGACTGTTTTAGGGTTCCAGTATCTAACCAATTATTGCCAATTATAAAAATCACATATTTCATTGTTTGCAGTTATTTTAATGTCAAGGTATTCACTATACTCCATATTAAAATGTTGATTTTCTTAAGTAGAAGCTCATGTAAATTTTGGCATATGTATCTAAAGATGATAATTTGGGGGAAAGAATGTATTTTTATGAATGGTTCAAAACTATTAATTTGGAGTAACACAACTGTCTTGGTTACTTTTCTCTCTTTGCTGGGACAAAATACCTGATGCCCAAAATGAAGGAAGGAAAGGTTTATTTCGATTACAGTTTGTGAGGTTTCAGTCCATACTTGGCAGGTTACAAGGCAGAGTGGCACATGGCAGAGGGCTACAGCTCATGGCGGCAGAACACAGCAAAAGCAACAAGGACTAAAAAGGAATGGCTGCAAGCAGCCTCTTCTTCTCCTTTACATATGCAAACTATCCACCCCAGGGCGGGTGTAGTTCTCACACCCATAATCAATCAACCCTAAAAGCCTGCCCCATGACCACATGAGGCTTTGGGGGGACACCCAAACACAAACCATAACAACAACTTTGTTTATATTTTATTTATGTATTTTAATTTTTAATTTTTTTGTTTTTTTTCTGGTACTGGGAATTGAACTCATGACCTTGCACTTACCAGGCAGGCACTGTGCTGCTGAGCTAAATCCTAACCCCTGTTTATACTTTAATCATAACGATAAAAACCAACTCTTCCTTTCCAATTACAACTTGGATTTTTCTACGGCAATCACACTATCATTCTGGAAAATCAAGCCCTCCTGAGAAAAGCAAAGGAGTAAGTCTCACTTTTGATATTAATCTCCACGAATCACCTTTAGCATGAGGTCCAGTCTTGTAGAGCTCAGGGCCAATTATTTCTTAATTTATAAATGTTGAATTGTATGCCCTGAGCTTGAGGAAATACATACTGATGCTGTTTATAGGTAGAACTTTTAAATGAATCATAGTTTAGTTTCAGTTAAACTACAGTGGTCATTAAATAATTTAGGTTGTAATTATAAGGCTTCTAAGAAGAACCTTTATATAATTTTATCTCCTTTTATACAAAGTTGCTATACTCACTAGAATAGCCATTAGAAAAATAAGTGAAATTGAACTTAAAAAAGTATTTAACTTTTGGGTATCTTTGATGTTGAAAGCACGAGGTTGGAATTATTGGCAAAAACTGAGTTTTAGAAAAACTGCTGTTATCTGCAGATTTCAATTATATATACTTTCTCCATTACCCCGTAGGAAATGGAAAGTGGGATATATTAACTTGTTATATTATCTTCGGTCCAGAAGCTTTTACAGACCAGTTGGAGCTTATCTATTACTTGTGAATTTAAAAACGTTGAAATTAAGTATCGAATTCTAGCTTCAACACTGCCAGTACTGTGTTTGCCTCGCTCTTCACCTGAACTTCCACTCCCCACTTGTTTCTCAGTTTCACAAGTCTTCATGAAAAGAGCTAAAAACCCATGAACGACTAGTTTGTCTTCCACCAAAGAGAAAGTAGAAGCAAAATATAAAATTTAAGTTAAAAAATTGTGACTGTTTCTGGTTTATTAAATTCTCCTTCCCGGTGTGTTTATATTTTATTTTAAAGTTTATGAAACCCTGTGTTTTGTATGTTCATATTCCAATGGCTTCTTAGGCGCGCATTTTTTTGGAGTCATGACAATGCCACTTTTGATCTGTATGAGTAAATTAGAGAAACAGGATGCTCGGGGCTGGGGATTTAGCTCAGCGGCAAAAGCGCCTGCCTGGCAAGCGCAAAGTAGGGAGTTCGGTTCCCGGTACCGGAGAAAAACCAAAAAAAAAAAAAAGAAACAGGATGCTCAATAGGTTAATAAACAACAAACTTGTCTCTATACAACATCATTAAGATAGTATTATATTGATAGTAGGGAACCTTTTGGAGATTCTGTGAAGTTCATGTTTTACCTGACACCTAACGGGCTGCTTTTTATGTTTATCTGCTCTCTCTTCTCATTCTGTATCCACTGTTCCTTTCCTTAAGCATCAGGATACAAACCACAGTGTGTGTTTTTAAGTCTTAAAAGCAGAAAATGCCAGCTGAGATATTCAACCTGACTTCCCTGACTTTTGTGACACATCAGGTGGTTCGGCACCGGTGGAATGATAAACAATTAAATCAGGGCATTTATACAAGCGCAGAAACAGTGGTGACTTGGCAGTGTTAAATAAATGGTGCAAATCTGCCTTCGGGCCATTCTAAACAAGACATTAAGCAATGGAATCTAAGCCAACGGGAGAGAAAGATGGTGTTGATTCTGTCACAAACGTTAAGTAGAATGTCACTTTGAATGTTCTTGCAAGATTATTTTGAAAACCAAAAGTATTCTTAGGAAAGCTACACTCCTTAGTCCTTGGGATCAGGGTCTGAAAGCTGGGTCAATCTCCAGCACCACAAAGACAAGAAGAAAAAAGAATGAAAGAGAAAAGAAGAAAAAATAAGTATACTAATGTTAGATTAACATCTTCAATTCTACAAACATTAACTGAATATCCAAAAAGTGTAAGAAACTGTGCCAAGTGCTGAGACCCAGGACAAACTTTCTCTACATTCCAAAGGCCTCAAAGGATCCACAAACAACATCAGTATCCCAGTTCCACCCCTCAGTCATTCTGAGTCACCATGCCCCAGGTGGAACAAGGCATCTGTAGATTTCCCAATGTTCTCTACCTGATTAGAAATTCAGCCAGCGTTAAGACCCTTAGGAGGTCCTGGAGTCAAATATTCCCTCAGAGAAAATACAAGGGTGGAATAACAGTGCAGCAGTAGGTCATACCATGCAGTGGCATTGCAAATATTCCCAGTTTTGCTGGTGCCTGGGATTGTCACAGCGACAGGCCAGGATCAGGAAAGTTTCCCCAGGAAGGTGATGAAAGCATAGTTCCGAATTCTAAACTGGCTCAGCTACCTACAAAGGCTTCAACTTGTGCCCACAGCAGGTGTTCTCGCGGGACCACGCACAGTTCCCAGAGGTAGGTGCTTTTACATGCACGTCCGCAGTGAGGAGACTGCAAAAGGATCAGCTACATTGAGAAAAAGAATCACAAAGCTTCTAAGGGCTAGGAGCGAATTCAGGCCTCCTCCCTTCAACAGCCCATAGTTTCCAGGGAAAAGATCGGATTTAAGTGATTTTCAAATTTTAATATTTAATATGAATATTAATTTAATTTTAATATTTAATATTTTAATCCAGAAAGGCGGTACCAAGAGGAGTTGCCCCTCGAAGATCTGTCGTGGCTGAGATGCTTGAAAGCAAAGTCAGATTTTACTGCTTGTTTGTCCCATTTTTAATAATTTGACTGCACTTTTTAAAACAGGTGAATATTTTACTTTTTTTTTTTTAAGTAGATGCGCTAAAAGCCCCAGCTACGGCAACGGCTTACAGAAAAGCAATTTCTCCTTTGAACTGACTCGGATCTGAGCCCTACGGAGGTTCAGATTGTGAGTTAGTGGTGCTCACATGGCACAGCTGCACACCAGGGCCCCCTGGGACTCTTTCCCTCCTGTAGCTATGCATTTTTAAGTATGTAAGATTTATGATCTAAGCCATAAGCAAAAAGCTCAGGCAGGAGTTTACTAATTAATCATTTTGGCCTAAATGTTCCTTTTGGTTGTGCTCAAGCAGCCCAGGTTCAGTTCTTAAAAGTACCCTTGACAATAGGAAGCATGGAAAGCAAGCCCTATCTCAGCTGAATACCTTCGCACCTATGCCGTGCAAGCCAGTCCTAGACCTGATAGCGAAAATTTTAATAACAAATCTTATTAAATAAAGCGAGGATATAATCAACTAGAAATTATCCTTTTATCCAATTAGAGATAATTATATGTTACAGAGTTACACGTTTAAATAATCATTCTCGCCCTAAGATCGCATCACTCGGATGTGTGAGTAGGATATTTAGTTTTTAACAATTTTAGAACTGGTGCTTTCACTCACAGTGTTCTGTCTGCCCAAACGTTCCTGTCTCTTCTCCCGTTACATTTCCTGCAATTTCCCGCGGAACACGTGCCCTCACACCTCTACACCGTGCCTTATGTTTCTCTGCGTCCCTTCGGACGTTTACCTCCCAAGCGTATGAACCATTCCTGCTAAAAATTTCACAGCATAGACATCGAATGTGTAGAACTGAAATCTTCCAGCAGAATTTTGGCTGTTAACAGTCTCCTTCCTGTCAGCACTGCCAGCCCCCGGCTGGAGTTAACCCTCCTACCAATCAGAGAGGCGCAGCAGACACCCAGCACTGCCCTTCCCCCCAGGCGAGAGACCATCATGCTTCCCTGGGAACTAGCCCGGCTGCCTTTGGGCAGCTGTTAAGCTCCCCTGACTTTGGTCGCCTCTGTTGTTACAAGCAGGAATAATAAGCACTTATTTATCAAGAAGCAAGAAACTGTTCCGCGTGTTTTTATAAGTTCTCCAAACTATGGCAGATCTTTGAAGGGAATCTTTTTTAGTTTCACAGAAACAACAAAATTACAGCAAAAATTAGAATATGAGATAATGGACTGATGATGATCAGCTGATTTAATTTAAATGAATCAGCTATATTACATTACTAAGTCTCCCCTATTGTAGCTATTAACGCTGCTAGTTACTTAGGAAGAACATCTGAGTTTTCATTTCTTACCTTTAGATTTCCGGTCATGGTATGCTCGGCCTCGATAATAAGGGGTTTCCAAATACAGATTCTCAAGGTCTTCTTGCCACGATTCTGGATTGAAGTGTCTGAGCAGATCTTCCACAGTGTCAAATTCTGCAACTGTTTTGTCCAGCACATCGGCAGCAAGAGCGGGATCCGTTACTGACGCGGAGCGATAGGATCCCCCCTAAGAGAAACACACACCTCAGTGTACTCAGAGCAAGTCCATTGCTGTGAAATACAGCAGTCATACAGCTATATGGAAGGGACATAAACCACCTTCAGATTTTAATACCTCCTATGTTTAAACAGCGTGTAAACACAACCTGCCATTGACTTGCTATATTCATAAGTAAGAGATAGTAAGAGATAGTCTCTTCATGGTAAGAGATAGTCATTTACTCTTCATGGTAAGAGATAGTCATTTACTCTTCATGGTAAGAGATAGTCATAAATGACTATCTCTTCATGGTAAGAGATAGTCATTTACTTTTTTGGAAACCAAATCCAAGCGGATCACCAAACTGCCAGTTCATCTAAATTATAATCATTTTCAAAGAGATAGGCTGGGTGGAAATATAAAAATTAATTCACCCAGTTTCTTGCCTCAAGGTCCCAAATCATCCACATTTCAATTAATAAAGGTAATAATTAAAATTCTGAATTTCTTCCAAGCAAGTTTTGGTTATTTATTCCATTCTCCTACACGTATCATCCATACTGGCCCTTACAGGTCACCTAGTATTGCAGATGTGAGAGCAGGGCTGGACTAACTCTGGAGACATTTTGATAATTTAACCAACTTATTTACTGCCAACAAAGATAATGAGCCATTAAACTGGCTCCCTTGACTTAAGAGTATACGATTCACAAGGGAATGTTTTCTTAGAAAAAGTCATAGCTTGCTAGTGCTCCCAATTGCCAATAAAACAAATACTCTTTAAAGAAGGAACATGGAATTACTGGGAGACTGGAAAGGATTATGTATTTTGTCATAGAAATAAAACATTTCCACATAAAGTTTCCAAGCACTTACCTCACTAACCCTTGTACAGTCTAGAGGTAAATGAGCCATGTGTCAAACATCTCTGTAAAAATTCATGACCCATTAACAAGGAAATAGGGAGCACACAGCCTCAAATGATTTCTGAATGTCTTTAAAGAAACTGCCAAACAAATAAGATCCCCCAAAGGCAAATAACTTCTATCGTTAAGGGAAAATGGAAATTAAGGAAAACTTGCTCTCCTGAAGCTTACCTGTAGCATCCTATCAAAAAATAATATGCATTATACTCTCAGACATCAAAGTTCAAAAATTATATTATCAATTTTGAGCCGTGTTTGCTCTCTTTACCCAATCAAGGTTCAAAGGTCAGAAAGTGATTACATGATCACTTGTTCTCGGAGGAGTACTGTCTTTAGGAAAATGGAGGCATGTGATGTATCATTGTTGTAATTCAAGAGCTATTTTCACATATGCCCCACAGGGAAAGGCAGTGAGCGGAAGACAGGATTGGAGAGTAAGGTGGGAGGTATCAGGTAGATGATGAACATGTTAAGCCAAAAAACCGGTTTTCATTTAGATGAACTACACCTCTAACTTTTGATCAGCCCTAACAAAATACACATTTGGACCGAACTCATCCCGGACCAAACCTTTCCACCATGCTACTTTCAGGCCCTATGTATGAGTCTGTTCTACGTTCTGCACAGGTGTATCTAGGTAATCGTCCACCAAGTTACACAGTACTTGTCATACATTTACCGAAGGATACAGGGATTTGTTAATAGATCAAGCCATGACAAAGGCACCCCTGGCCATCATCTTGTTACTATGATGTGGCTGTGGGCTGGGTGGAGCAACACTTGTTCTTCTCAGTAGCGTGTGTGCATTTGTGTGTGGTGTGCGATGAATCTTAAATGATGCATACCATCTTGTTCACATCTCTCTTGACAACAAATGCAGGGTAATACTGACAGTTCAGTGCTGTAATTCCAAGTTCCTATTCAGCTTGTATAGCTTACCTGACTTATATTTATGAGACAATTTACAATTAACCTTGTATCACACCAATGCACATCTAAGATCTACAATATTAAAATGAGCTGACCAAATTTAGGAGTATGCCAGTAGGTAACAGCTTTGAAATTAAAACTCTTCCCATTTTACTGGAATAAAAGCAGGGACCTTAATCAAGCCATTCCCACCCAGGTGAAAGCTTCTTGAACTAGGTCTAGATAAAGTGGTAGCAAGGAATTTTCTGGGGTGGCTCTAGAAAGTGCCTGGAATATAGTGTGTGGCCAAATATCTTTCTAAGTGAAAGCTCTCAAAGGACTCTCAAGCTTTGGGACAGAAGGAGAAATCTAACATCTCCTGATATGAAGCTGAAGAACAAGTCCAAACCATAGGTAAAAATGTGAGCTTGTCCTTATGTATGGGCTTTACTGCTGCTTCCAAGTTTTGATTCTGAGTGTCTGACAGATACAACGATAACAGTTAAGAAAATGTGTATGAGTGAATAGGTGACCTAATAAACATCTACGAATATTTATTTCTGAAGTCAATATTTAAAAACTATTTTTGAGGGCAAGATTAACTTGGTGTACCTCCCTCAGCTGCAGTATAAATTTGATCTCACTTAGATTTTGTTATCTGTTTATAGAAATCAATTCTAATGTTAACTGAGTTACTTTGGTAATAATTCACAATAGTTTACATTAAAAACTGCATACACCAAAAACTAAGTGTGATTTTCAAAGAAGTAAATGGTAGGTAAAATGACCCATGATCCTACTCTAGAAGGTTCTTAAAAAGTAGAATGTTGAGCAAAGTAATTGTAGTGTCCCATTCCTCAAAGAGGGATAAACAGTACCTCTTCTTAGAATTCAAACCAGAACTCTCTAGTGGCTATGGACCTGAAGCTGGACTCCAAACAGATGGGAGAATCTCGCTGTTTCAAAGGACCTATGCCCTCAAGGCCCAGGTGTACAAGGCTTGGGCCCCAGGGTGCTGAATACTGGGAGGCAGGAGAGCCTGAGGGGTGGAGATTAATGGAAGGTCCTTAGATCGTTGGGGGCATGGCACTAAAGGGGATTCTGGGCACCTGGCCCCTTCTTCTGCCTCTCTTTTGCTTCCTAGATATTAGACGAGTGTTTCTGTTTTGCTGTGGGCACCAGCCATAATGTACTGCTTTGCCCCAGGCCCAAGGCAGTGGAGCCAGTTGACTAAAGTCTGGAGCTTCCAAAATTTCCAGCCAAAATAAGCCCTTTCTCTGCCCCTGGTTGCCCAACCCTTCTGTTTAGTTTGAGCAGCTCCTCAGTGTTACCTGTCTTGTTCTGACTTTTACCCTTCTGCAGTGATTGCCTACACTAAACAAGGTTCAGAGCATGCATTCTGGAATGTCAGAAGCAAACAAAACATTCATAATATCACCGACAAAGACTGTATCTGTATCTTGATTAGATGGTATTTTAGCTGCAGTTGCATCAGGTGATAGAATCCACAGCTGAGGAAATTCTGCTGTAGGAATGAAATCTTAAAAACTTCCCCAGGGACAAAAGACAGCATGTCAATTAAAAATAAAATCAACTCAAACTTAGTAGTGTGGATCCAGTTCAGGATCACACACATGATTTCTCCACATTCCTGACCTTTCTATGAACACCTGTATTTATTACCTTGTGTTTTATTGCTACATAAGTGCTGCAGGTAGGACTGGTGAAGACAAGGTCTGCTCTTTCTATTTAAAGTAGACAAGGAGGCAGAGTATTGAGAAATGGCTAAATTTGGAGAAAAAATGGGGCATGAGCCATGTTTTATATCTAAATCAAATAGAATATGTATAAGCCTGATTTGCATTTAAGTTATCTTACTGTAAACACTGGAATTTCTCAAGTCTGAAAAGAACCTTGAAAATACAAAGATTAACAGCCTCTCCTGGAATATTCAGAAAGCTATTTTGAAACTGCCCACTTGACCTGGGGCCATGGGTCAGTTTGGTATGGTCAGACAGTCCTTTTGTTAGAGTGCTCTTCTTTAAAACTGACAAAAGATTTATTTTTTTGTTTTGTTTTGTTTTTTGTTTTTTCTGGTACCGGGAATCGAACTCATGACCTTGTGCTTGCCAGGCAGGTGCTGTGCCACTGAGCTAAATACCCAGCCCCTAAACTGACAAAGATTTAAATCATTGTCTATGCCCAGGTCCTACAACCATCTTCGGGCAATTCCTGAAAACCTTTCTTAAGGAGAGGCCAAAAAGAGTGTCTGACATAATCCACTTTATCTGAAAGAAATGGAGGTGCATATCCTGCTTTGGATTTGGTTTTGGTTAAGCCACAGGTCCTTAATGTACTTTAAATCCTTCAGGGGTTGACCTTAGCTATTCCATCAGTTTCTTTCTGCTCGCAGCAAAGTAATAAATTACTTACCGAGGCAGAGCTTGTGACTGATTCCCAATTGGTTTTAGAGGCTGCTGCAGGTTGGAAATCTTCCTAGAAGGCAAAGAAACCCTGTGTCAGTCAGTGAATCCTGTGTTCAATTCATTATGGGTAACTTTAACACCTTAGCCTTCTCAATCTCCTTCTGACAAGTGACAACAGAAATAGGGCTACATACTCACTGCACATGCCAAGCATCTGTCTTGAGTATCTCACCTCTAGAATTTCTCCTTCATGACATGGACAATTGTATTAAAATTCTCAGTGGAAAACACACAGAAGTTCAAATTTTAACAAGGCTGCTTAGTGGAATGTGACCTCAGACAACCTCCTTAACCTCTCCAATCCTTCCCTTCTTCATCTTTGATAGGCTGTATGGAGTGCTTCAATTATAGGGCTGTTCTGAGAAATGGATGCATTCATTATGTTATTTTAACTCACACTTAATAAGATGCTTAATTAAGGGTAATAATTATCGTTATTGAAGTATATTTGGTTCAAATTAGCTTCTGCATCATGTCTACTGAGTTAGTATACAATATTGGTAATCTTTTCATCTATAAACTAACTTCCAAAGGCTGTTCTTGACTATCAGTGAACATCAGGAAGAGTGGCAGGGAGAGATAATTGTGGGAATGACAAGGTGCTGTCTGTCACTCTGGATATTAAATGCCACCCCCCAAAGGCTCACATGTTCAGAGGTGGGGATTTTGAAAGGCAACTGCTCTAACTTCTTCAGTGGTTTATTCCATTAACAAACTCATAATTCAATGGCATTGTTGAGAAGTAATGGAAACTTTGGAGGTGGGACCTAGAAGAAGGGAGTATATGAAGGGGCATGACTTTGGAAACTATGTCTTGTCCTTGACCTCTTCTCAAGTCTCTCTACCTGTTTCTCCTCCCCAGTCCTTCTTCACTCCCTTCCATCCTCCCTCTCTCCTTTGCTTCCCAGCTGACATGAAGTAAGCAGCTTTGCTCTGCCACATTCTTCCTCCATGATGTGTCTGCCTCCTCACAGGCCTAAAGCAATGGAGCCAGCCAACCATGTACCGAATCCTCTGAAATGGTAGGCCAAAATAAGCTTTTCCTCCTCTAAATTATGCCACATGTTTTGTCACAGTGACAGAAAGCTAACACACCACCCAAGGAAAGATGGTTTAGAGTGGGCATGAAAAAAATTATCTCAGACAAACTTGAAAAGATTTTTGATAATCCTAGACTTCATAGAAAGAAACTTTTCCTAAAGGCAAATTTATGTCCCATATGTGTGTGACTTTTATGCTAACTAATCTAGTACCAATAAATTTTAAAAAACCATAATTAGATAGGGAGCTGATTCTACATAGGGCTTCTTGACCCTGCTAAAATAAGTCACCTTGGTGAATTTCTTCTTCCAGCCTGACCAGCAAGCTGTAGGTGCTTTGAGATAATCCTGAGAAATATTCAGCCACTCAGGTCTAAATATACATACTGAATGAGGGCTAAGTGTCAGGTCTAAATTTCATTAACATTTTGAAGAATTGGAAGTGCATTTGTTAATAGCTCATGATGAGACTGGTTTATATATAAACGTCTGTGTTGAAGAAAATTTCAGTTGTTTGCCAAGCAAGAATCAAGTCAAATGTGGGGTTTCAAATAATTAACATATATTTAGAACTGGCTAGATATCATTACTCTATGCTCAACTTTATGGGAGAGAAGAAACAGCAAATGTGGTCTGTGTACTTTGCCAAACAGAATGTATGTGAAAAGGACACTCAAATTTCACATTAGAAGGATGAAGGCAAGCAAATAAAGGTTGGAATTTACATGAGTCATGAGGTGGTGAACAGGTAAGGCTGGGAAAGAGATAGGAAGCAAGTAGCTTTTCTATGTCTCGAAAAAAGCATCCATATGAAGACACATGCTAGGTATATTAATTTATTTTCCATTACTATAACAAAATATTTGAAGCTGAGTATGAAACAAAGACACAAGGTTTATTTAGGTCACAGTTTTGGAGGCAGAAAGCCCAACATTTAGCAGTCCCTAGTGTACTTTCTATAATGAGGTTGAATCACAATGAAATAAACTATCTGGATCCTCAGGGAGTTCAAAAGGTAAATATATAAATAAACTTGTGCAGGTACTCTGATACCAGCTTAATTAGAATAACATGAAGGGTAGTAGAAAATTGTTCCTGGATTGGAAGTGGACTGGAAAAATGCCCTATAAGAAGGTGGTACAGAGAGAAGTTTTATGTCATTGTTTAGATCTAAAATGTCTCCCCAGTTTCTCATGTGTTCAGAGGTGAGATTTTGAAATGTGATTGGATCATCAGGGCATGATACTCATCAATGACTCCACTGATAAGTTCATAAATGAATATCTTGTTAGGAGATGGGGTAGGTTGCAGGAGGTTGGTCACTGAGGGCATGGCCTGGAAGGGTATATTTCTTTTTGTTCATTGGTATATGCTTGTGATGCATAGTATTTACAAGGAATTGATCGTTTTTAATCCCTGCTCCCTGCAAAGTGTATAGTGTGTATCTCTCTCTCTTTTCTTTTTGAATGCCACTGGGTGAACAGATTTTCTCTGCCATGTCTTTTTACTATGCCATTTCTGCCTTGGAGCCAGCTGACCATGGACTGAACTCACCAAAACCATAAACTCTTCCTTTAAGTTTTTGGTGCTGAGTATTTTGCTCCTGCAATGACAGGAAAGTTACTAATATACATTGAAAGTTAAGTAGATGGCTGCTTGCAAGAATAGTAGAATAGAATACTTAAAAGGAGGGAGCTGCTTAGGCTATATAAGAAATGTATACAAAGAAAGAGGTAAATTTCTAGGTAAAGCTATTAGGTCATGTTGAACATAGTATATTTTCAGTATTTCTACAGCATACGGTATGGATGCTCAAGAGGAAGTTTCCTTTATTAGACAGAGTGAACATCATGAAAGAGAGGAACTTGAGCTATAGATCTGGAATTATCAACACAAAAATGACAAGCAAAGCCAGTAGAAGATTATATGGATGACATGGAAAAATCACAAAAAGGACATGTTTTAAAATCTTGGAACTAGAAGTATGATTAGGATTACCTAGTCCAACCTCCTCATTTTAACAATAAGGAAACCAGTTCACAGAAAGATAAATGGCATGTTCTGTGTCATATAGCCATCTTCTGGCAAAACTAGAATGATCAGGAGAAACTCTGTAATGAACTTTCACAGCATTACAGCTGTCTTGGAGAGTGCCTGCCTGGGAGAGAAACGATGAACCATGACCAAAGGAGTCATCACACCCACAGAGAAGGTATGAAGCAGAATGGTGGTGAAAACTCTCTGAAGATATCCTTTGAAGCTTACTCCTACTTAGTCTTGATTCCAACACTTACTTTGGTGACTCCAGTTTGTTTTCTTACACAGACCCATAGCAAAAATGTACTATTAATCTTTTTTAAGTACAAAAGGTCTTTCATGTAAAAGTAGCTACACACAAAGAACTCCCAGCTTCTGTAATTTCTGGCTTGCAAGATTCCAGTCAGAAACTTTGATAGAAACAAATGATAAAGGATTTCACTAAATTCCTGATAGAATGTAACTTTATCCTCTTTTAGTAACATAACTGTAAGACATTTTAAAGATATCAACTTTCTTTTCTGTTACTTCAAAATTTTGCCATCATTTATGAATGACATATTTAAAATGAGCTTATAAAAGGAAATGATATTCCTTAAAAAAGTAAAATACTGAACTGCCAAGGGTTTAGCTTGGAAGAAGTCTGAGCATAGGGAGAAGCATAGTGACTTTACTTTCTAAATATATCCTCACTGTGATCATTTTTCATCTCTTCCACCATAATCTCACAAGGACGAGACATTAGCAAGTCTCCTGTTTCTTTCTCCCTAAGTCCACATTCCACATAGCCATCAGAATTCTCCTTTCCAATACGAAACGAAATCCTATCTGCTTCTTAAAGCCCTCAAAAGCTTTCCAGTGTGTTCATTACTTGTCTGATCTGACTGACTGCTGTGACCTCCTCTTGACTCTGTGACCTCTTCTCCTGGTATCCCGCTCTGATTTGTTGTCCTACATTTCCCACTAACTCTGTTATGGCTATCCTGGCCTTCTGAGAGTCCTTCAAAAACATCCCAAGGTTCTCTCCTTAAGTTTAATCAGCTGCTGTTACCTCTGCTTGGATGTGCCTTCCCCAGATGTTCCAAGGCTGGCTCCTCATCATTTGGTTGTTTGCTCAAGTGTTTTACAAATCTTTGGAGAGCACCCAGGTCACATGATTTAACTGTTTAATTTTATTTAAATTATTAATGACATGCGAAATTTTTTCATGTTTCTTTGTTGATTATCTCTTTCTGTGGAGGACACCCAGGAGAGCTCTCCTTGAAAGAAGTGCCTTTATCTCCATTGTGCCTAAACCTAGCCCTGACTCTACGTATTGATATGTACAGAGCTGGCTAGGACAGTTCTTTATCCCCTCAATTGGCTTTAAGCAATGTAAATGTGTTGTGCTCATGTGTAGTCTTCAAAGCAATGGGACAGGTCAGTGATGCCCCACCTATAGCTTCAAGCTAGTATGTGTGAGCTGGGCAGAGTGACACTGTGCTATCAGCTGAGACTGAGGTTCCCAAAGGATCCCATGATGTCTCAGGGCATGAACAGTAGAAGAGTAGACACCAAAGTTGAGGCATGGATCCCCAAGCACAAGATACTTTCTCAAGCCATGCTATGCAGATTACTTTTTCTGTATACACCTCTCTCTGGATACTGCAGAGGTGCTATCTTACCTCCTACCTAGCCCAGCTCAGAGCATTTATGTACTAACCACCATTCTCATGGTCACTCATCCTGAAGCCACTCCCCTCTTCATGAATTAGGAAAACCTGGTTTGGTCCTGGTTTGAAGAGGCCTTTGTTCTGGTTAGCCATTGTTCTAGATGGACTTAGGACCCCCCTTGGCTCCCCACCACTATGGGTATGTGTTTATCTCTTTATACTCACTATAGCTTGCACTGGCAGTGGTATATTGGAATTACTTATTGGAATTACAATAACTT